AGGACATGCAAAAATGCTTATAACTCAGAAACTGTTCAACATAGAAGCTTCAGATATATTTTGTTGTTTAGCTCTGATGAAGCTCTATCCATCAGGTCCACTAATCAGTGCCCCCCACCCCCGGACCCCCAATTTATTAGAAAAAGGGGTATCTGGACATACAAAAAGGGTTATTGCTCAAAAACTATTAAACATAGGAGCTTCAGATTTTCTTTGGTTGTTTAGCTCTGATGAGGGGCTATGCATCAGTTCAACCAACCCCCACCCCCCAAAAAATAAAAAAACAATTTTCAACAGACTTTACAACATATTTAGGTATCTGCTTTGACTTACTTTAAAAAACAAATGTAATTTTTTTCCTTTACTGATTTGTTGTGATGTATTTACCGATTTGCAATGATGCCATTTTGAACAGTTTATTTACTTTCTGATTCAACTGCTTGATGTTTGAAATGTGTTGGTGAATGTAAATATAGTTGAGCTYTTAGCCAAGAGTCTTAGCTTTCTATTGATACCAAACATGTCCAGGTTCAACTGACAGATCAGACGTTAACAGAAGTTAAAAGATATAGAACGGAAAAAGCTGTTTTGGGCACGGGACTCAAGAGGTTAATTATTTTTCCGATTAACCTATAAGTTGATTAGTCACTGTTAATTCTGTTACAACGTTCATCTATGGTTTCTGTGGGTGAGCCTCCTGTTCCACATCTCTTCACCTGCTCACACCTGAGAATGTCTCCTTGTTCTCCCGTCTTTCTACCTTAACATAACATCCTACAACACATTCTAATAATGACCCAGAAAACTTCAGCTTAATCTGGTTCTAACATTAACACGTGTGATCACAGTGGTTCAGGTGATCATGAYGTTTTTACTGCTRCTGTGCTGCCATGGCTTTCTTTGGTTTATTTACAGGAAAATGTAGAAAACTTTTCAAAGTTTGAATCTTGTTATTTTGGCCTCTTGGACATAACCGTCCGCCATAGCTCTGTGATGTACCTGCTGTGTCTTTTCTGTGGTGTGCAGATCGGCACCTCTTCTTCAGTAGTAAACAATGTAATCATAGAAAATTGAAGTGATTCTGCCACCAGCAGTTTGTGTACTTCTTTGAACATATAAATGAACATTTAGGTGGTTAAACTAGATACCGCATAGCGGTAACATAATGACCCCCACACGCACAAATGCACCAGAACTCAGAAGTCTTTATTCTTAATACAGTGGGGAAAATAAGTATTTAGTCAGTCACCAATTGTGCAAGTTCTCCCACTTAAAAAGATGAGAGAGGCCTGTAATTGACATCATAGGTAGACCTCAACTATGAGAGACAAAATGTCGTTTTGTCTGACTTTTAAAGAATTTTTTTGCAAATAATGGTGGAAAATAAGTATTTGGTCACCTAC